TATGTCTGTGTGTGGTGTGAGTTGTGTGTGTGGTGTGTGATATGTGTATGTGATGTGTGATTTCTGATGTGTGTGAGGTGTGTGTATGTGTGTGTGTGATATGTGTATGTGATGTGTGATTTCTGATGTGTGTGTGTGTGTGTGTGTGTGTGTGATGTGTGTGTGAGTGACACCAAAGAACAGGGAGAGAGGAAAGAAAGGCCCAGCCAGAGCAGAAATGCATAGTGTACTCGGGATAAGTTAATTGCATGTTGGGTAAGAAGGCCAGGTGTTTGTGTTTTGGAACAATAGGAAGGATAGAATTACTTTGTTTTGTGAAGAGAGATGATGGAAACTGCTTTTTGTTCAGGATTACCGGGAGCAAGTGTCAAACTGACCGAAGGAAGAAGATGAGATCAGCATGACCGGTTTGGAAGCTTTAGAACTAATCCAGGCGTGGGGCACAAGCACTGATTAAAGGGTGGTAAAGGGGGGCAAAGCAAAAGTTCTTCAAAGAGAAAAAAAGACCAAATGCTGGAATTGGCTATGAAGGAGGGAAGAGGGGATAAAAATGTCTAAAGGAGTGGTAAAACGGGAAAATACCTATTCTCCCAACAGGAAAAGGAGGGTTCTCCAGGAAGACGTGTTGCAGGTGAGGGGTTCAGTCTCAGGCACGTCCAGTTTGCAGCGAATTGCAATCACAGATGGAGAAGCTACGTAGGGATTTTACAAAAATGGAACTGGCTAGAGCTCTGTGAGGCTTCAGGACAGAGCATCTGGGTGTTGGCAGCACAAGGCCTTCTTTTGGGTCGAATCAGTGAGTCCCTTTAAAAGAAGAGAGAGTCTTGGAGGCAGGATTCAAAACAACCCCCCAAGGAGACAATGCCAAAAACCAGGAGAGAAACTCTACACAGATTTGAATTTTATTCCAGTTTTTAAAAAAGGATAATGAATTTGAGAAATTTACATCCATTAACAAAACCACCCAGATCTTCATTCTTGTCCACTTGGGGGTAAGCAGGTCAAGAAAAGCAAGTGAGGAACTGAAACAAAAAGACAAAAGAGAAACAAAATAGGTTCATATCATCTTTTCCTCCCTCTCCTCCTGTACATTCACTCATCTGAGGAGCTAAAAGTGACCAGCTTATAGTCTCAACTTCCAATTTGAAGAAACTATTATTGTGCCCCTAAGAGAAAATATCTTCCTTTGAAATTAAGACCATGAGATCAGAACAGCCCAAAGCCTAAGGCACAAGAAGCCAAAGTTTATTAGTGAATCATTAGGGATAATAGTGAGGACTGACACTTTTGTTTTCACTCCTTGATTTTGAAAACCATAAATCAGGGATATAGAAGGGATAGCACCATGGATTAGTCTTTGATTACCAGCATATATCAAATCTGGAGGACATTGCCCCACCCGCACAAGTATGGGAACTGATTCTCCAAAGATCCTTCCAGTTACTTCAGAATGATGGAACATGGTCACACCAGTGAAATCCACAGCATGAGACTGTTTCTGCTCTGTACTTTCAAGTAGTGCCCATATATCACACAGAAGCATCTGTAAATCAAACTCAATTATTTTTTTCTCTCCAGCTGGTCATATAGAACTGGCCGTGAAGCCAGAAATAAGGCACGAGATAGAACAAGCAGAAGGCTTATGGGTCATGGGAATCTGAGCCACTTTCTCGGGCAGCATACAGGACCCACTCAAAATCTTTTTTTTTTAGTATGTTTTTATTGATTTTAGAGAAAGGAACTGAGAGATAGAGAGATGGAAACGTATTTGGATTGGGCTGCCTCTTGCACACCCCCTACTGGGGATCAAGCCTGCAACCCAGGCACATGCCCTGAACAGGAATCGAACCGTGACCTCCAGGTTCATGGGCGTACACTCAACCACTGAACCACACCGGCCGGGGGCAAATTCATTTTTTTATATACTACTTCAATTTAGTGATGGGCCTGGTGGTCAGATTACAACCTTTCATGATGGGCAACTCAGGTTGCATGGTAGCTTGTTAGATCACAGTCAGGCATGTGAGAGCCAGTAATGAGGGAGAAACTGCTTCTCAAAAGGAAAGTCATTATTTGCAGAGGATTCCACAATCAAGATAATTAATTATACCATCACCACAAGACTTCTTCATTCTACCTTTTTATATCCACACTTAGCCGATCCCTTCCCCCACCCGACCCCTGGCAATGACTAATCTGTTCTTCGCTCTATACCTATGCTATTTCACAAATATTATATAAGTGGAATCATGTAGTATGTTTCCTTTTGGGACTGTCTTTTTAAAAAATTAAGAATAATATCCCTGAGGTTCATTCACGTTGCTCAATGTATGAGAAGTTTGTTCCTATTTATTGCTGAGTAATATCCCATGGCATAGATATAGTTTGTTTATCCACTCATCCCCTGAAGCCATTGAATTTTGGCTCTTACACTCTTTGGCTATTACAAATGGAGCTGCTGTTAATATCTGTGTACAATTTTCTGCATGAACAGAAGTTATCATTTCCCTGGGATATATGCCTAAGAGTTAAATTGCTGGGTCATATTGTAAGTCCGTTTTTAGTTTTAAAAGAAACTGCCAAATTGTTTTCTAGAGTGGTGGTACCATTTAACATTCCCACCAGCAACATACAAATGATACAGTTTCTTACATCCTTACTAGCATTTGTGTTATCACTATCTTTTATTTTAGCCATTCTGATAGGTATGCAGTGATATCTTATTGTGGTTTTAATTTGCATTTCTCCAATGGACAGAATATGTTAAACATTTTTCATGTGCTTACTTGACATCCATATCTCTTCTTTGGTAAAATGGCTGTTCACGCCTTTTGCCCATTTTCTAACTTGATTACTTGTTGAGTTGTGAGAATTCTTTATATAGTCTAGACACAAGTCCTATTTTAGATATGTGGTTTGCAAATACGTTTGCTCAGTCTACAACTTATATTTTTATCTTCACAATAGGATCTTTCACAGAGGGAAATTTAAAAGGTTTTTTTTCCCCAGTCCCATTTATGTTTTCTTTTTATGACTTATCTTTTCATCCTCTTAAAATAATTTTTCAGACAGCAAATTTTTAAAATTTTGCTGAGTCCAACTGATCAAATTTCCTTTTATGAATTTTTACTTTTAAGTGCTTTGGAGTTAAGTCTAAGAATTCTTTGCCTAATCCTAGGTTTCAAAGATTTTTATCTTATGTTTTTTCTAGAAGTTGTATATTTTAAATTTATGTTCCTGATCTACTTTGAGTTAATTTTTGTATAAGGTGTGTGAATTACTTTGAAGTTTATTTGTTTGTCTGTGAATGTCCAATTGATCTAGCATCATTTATTTAAAAATCTATCCCTCCTTTATTAAATTGCTTTTGCAACTTTGTCAAAAATCCATTACACATACTTGTGAAGATTTATGTCCAGTTTCCATATTCTGTTTCATTACCTATGTGCTTATTCCCCCAACAGTACCACATTGTCTTGATTACTGTGGCTATGTATTAAGCCAGGAAAAATGATTCCTCCCACTTTATTCTATAGTTCAAAATGGTTTTTAGATATTATAGGGTCTTTCCCTTTCCATATAAATCTAGAATAAAATGCCTTTTATTTAGGGAAAATAAACTTTGTTGAGATATTGATAAGAATTATATGAAACCTATATATAAATTTAGGGAGAATTGACATCTCTACCGTATTAAATTTTCCAAACCACAAATGTGGTGTGTCTCTATAAGCATTTAGGTCTTCTTTGATTTCTTTCATCATGCAGATTCTTTACATGTTTTCTTAGATTTAAATATTTCATTTTGTGTGGAGTGATTGTAAATGGCACTTAAACAATTCTGTTTCTACTTGTTAATATATAAACATGTTATTGTTTTTTGTTTGCTCACCTTGCATTGTAGGTAATTTTCTTATTGCCTTTCTGCTATTGATTTCCAGCTTGATTTCACTGTGGTCAGAGAACATTCCCAAGTGCTTGGCCAGAGAGAGGGGCTTTTCTTGTGGCTCTTATGTACCCTGTTGGCAGTTTCAGGTTGCTGGACTCCCTGGCTCTAGAACCAGTTCCACACAGGCTTTGACCTGCTTCGTGCAAGTGCGCCTGGCAGCTGTATTTCAGTCACTCCCTGTGCCTTTTCCCTGCTGCCCTGGTCTGCTCCTCCTCTGCTGCTGCCTGGGACACCTGTGAGAACCTGTTTGGTACTCAGGCTTGCACAACCAGAATGACAGGGAGTCCTTATCCTTTGGGTCATCTACAGCAGTGGATGGTTAGGCAAAATTCTTTCCGCTTTCATCTTTCAAGGCCACTGCGTCTTTTATAATAATGGTCTCCATTAGTCCCAAGACAACATTAAGCACCCATACCCTTAGTGGAGGCAAGCCAACTATCTCTTCCTGTATTAGCTTACCCTCCTTTACTTATTTTCTCCCTCCTTTTTTTAAATTCTGTAATCCCCAAATAAACTACCTGTATATAGCCTTGGGCTCAGATCCTGCTAATGTGGAATTTGGGCTAACAGGTCAGACATATAAGTCTGGGCTTGCACTTGGCTGAAATGTAAAAATGATCTAGTGAAGTAAAAAAAAAAATCACTAAAGTGTCTTTCAAATTCTATATAAAATTATTGACTTTATAATTTTATGTTGCTAAATGTCCCCAAACAGAGACTAGTTTAATCAATGGCCATCTTTTAAAATACAATACCTCCGGGAAGCACATACAATTCGTTATTACAGTGAATATGAGAGACAGACAGAGAGAAGACAGTGGCAGAAGGAAATTTAGAAAGAAACCCAGCCTTACGAAAAAGTCTGGAGACTGATAGATAGTCAACATTATTTACTTGGGAGATAATTAGCAAGGGAGGTACCTCCTTATCTTTATTTCTCTCCACTCACCATTTTCAGTAAAGATAACAGAGTTTTGATTGGTTGGCAAACGTGAAAAAAATCATATGACTTCCTCCTCCATTTCCAATTTGAACCTCCAGATGAAATACTATGGCTTCCATTTCCCTGCACTGTGTGGTAATTGGCTGTATTTTGCTTCATTTGGCAGGAGCATCCCCTCTCTCAGATGCCTATCCCCCTCTGTGGAAAGACTGTCCTGGTCAGCTTAGTGACTACAAGGTAGAAAATGGAAAATACATAATTAATTTCTGGCATTACCTTGAGAGACAAGGGGCGTATAAAATCCTATTGAATGAGACAGCCAAGTATTTTGAAAAATTAGCGCCAGAAAATGAACAAAATATTTTATGGGGACTACCTGTTGATCATGGATGGCAATATCATACAGGTAAGAATGACTCTCTTTTTCATTATAAGGACCCTTTGATTTAACTCAAAATTAATTAGGAAGGACTACCTTGTATATGTCACACCACTTTTGTGAAAATTGATTCTGTTTTCTTTTTTCCCTTCCTAGTCCTTCAACTATTCTTTCTCCCACTCCTCCTCATCTCCGTTTCCCCTCATTCTTTCCTAATCTCTANTAAAATTAATTAGGAAGGACTTCCACTTTTGTGAAAATTGATTCTGTTTTCTTTTTTCCCTTCCTAGTCCTTCAACTATTCTTTCTCCCACTCCTCCTCATCTCCGTTTCCCCTCATTCTTTCCTAATCTCTATCAAGCGTTTATGGAATGCCCTCCTTGTGCACAGTGTTTCTACTCAGCAATGCCCGTTAGAACTGTGTACAATAATGAAAATTTTTGTATTTGCACTGTCCAGTAGGGGAACAGGAGACCTACTGTGCTCACATGTTGTTGTATATGGCTATTGAGCACTTGAAATGGCTAATGCTTCCACAGACCTGAATTCTTAATTTTATTTAATTTCAATTAATTTAAATAGTCACAAATGGCTAGTGGTTACCTCATTCACTGAGACACAGCATATTAGACCTAGTTCATTCAATATCAACAACTATTTATTAGGTGCTACTAGGTGCCAAGTCTAGTTTTAAGCCCTGGGGATGCATCGATAAACAAAACAGCTAAGGCAATATACATTAATTACACAAGGGTGCATAAAGTTAATTTGCATTATCTACAGTTCTAAATGTGATTAAGTCATCATGTAGACTGGAGTGACAAAGGATTAGAAAAACCTTTCTCTTATATGTTCTCTTCCTGAAAATTGTGTATACACTCATGAATGAAAGTAAAGATTTATTTTGGAACAAAAATATCATAAATACCAAGCTATCTTCTGTCTAACAATGGCATTTGAGAAACAAGGACCCTCATCATCAGTGTCCAGAAAATAGTACTGGATGGAGGAAAGGAATCAATGAGAAAATAGGTGGTTTTGTGGGAAAGATAGAAGACAAGATTCTGCAATGTCTGATCGGTAATGTCATCCTGAGCTGGCATTATAAGCAATTTTGTCAGGGTGATCTTCTGACACCCAGTATAACTCCTATTGCTAGGCAGTCCTTAGCATGGAGAAGAAAAAGATCTGAACTCCTGAGACACATTTGAAGAGGAGCCCAAACATAAGGTCCATAAAATTTTCTACCCTGGGATCAGTAATGAGCAAATGGCAAGGTCAAATGTTGGAATGGATATCGTCTCAATTTTATTTTCATTCAAAAGCATAATGAGTCGGATTCTTCTCTTTTTTAGTGGGTGATTTTATTTAGTATTTGATTGAGTTAAATTATATGGCATAACTATAAAAAATAAATATATTATTTAAAATGTTGAAAGTAAACCATAAAAGTATTTCAAGATAAGGACCATAAGTACAAGAGTAGTTCAGAAAACAGCATAACCATCATGGGCTGAGATCAGCATGGAAAGAAGGTAGGACCAAAGAGCATGGTGGAGGGATTGCTGGAATAAAATAGCTAGAGCACAAATGAAGATGGCAATGATGGCAGGTTCTGTTGGGGGCGAGACTACCACATTCACAGGAGAATTGGAATGTGAAAAGAGTAGTGGATGGAAATTTGACATGAATTAGGGCCAGTTTAAGAGATGTCTTTAAAGTCAGACTGAATCGTTTTTAGTTGGGCCTTTAAGCAATATGGTTTGGTTTAGTTTAGTAATAAGGACCTGATGTTTGTACAATACTTAAACACCCTAAATGTTTGCTTCTCAATTGTTTAATAGAGTTTTTAAAATAGCTTTATTAATGTCTAATAAACTACATACACATTTTAAGAATGTATTATTTGATAGGTTTGATATATGTGTATAACCTTGAATCTATCACCATAGAGAATGATCACTTGTAAGAAGTGGACAGGAGGGAGGCTGGAGGAGCAAAATACTGTCTGGGCAGCTAGAGAAAAGAGAAAGCAGGCGTAGAGAGAATACGCCAGGAATGGAAATGGTTGAAAGGGGGAAGAGACAGAAGTAGAGTCAGAGGCAGCTGGAGGCTCATGCAGGGAGTGTATGTAGAAGGTACAACAGATTTTTAAAAAAACAAGTGTGAAAGAACCAGAAACGAAAGATTGAGAAGCAGGAGATAAGTTAAAGATGAAAAAAAGAAACGGAGAGAAATAGAGTAGGGACTAGTATTTGTGGAGCACACGTTACCGAGCTGAGCACTTCATGTTCTCTTCATTGAACACCCCCAGGCTTCTATGAAGTAATTATTGTTAGTCTCTCTAGGTTGTAGATTAGAAAAGTGAGGCTTGTAGAATTTATTTATCCAGGGTCAAACTGTGAGTAAGCAATGGAAATAAATTTTATTTTAGGCAAACAGAGGCTAGATCTTGTTTATTATAGCTTAGTTTTGACTCCTTATATGTTGAAGATAAAGGGTAGAACCCAAACTACAGAGGTTAAAAAAAATAAGGCCTTTGAGAGAGTTCTTGTAGGAATGTAAAAAAAAAAAAGGAAAATATAAATAGGAAATGGAAAGAAAAAATGTCATGAAGAAAAGGCAGTGATGGGAAGGGTGACACTTTTTTTTTTTTCAGAAAAAATATTTTGTGCATTCCTGTAAACATAATGTATCTAGTTAAGTTTTCTTGTTGTTTGTTTTTAATCTACATCTTTGAAATGGTCCAATAAACCCAACTCTGGATTCCCTCTCTTTCAGGCAGATTAGCTGATCCCACCCAAAGAACAGACTGTGGCCTTAAGTCTGGGGATCACCTGTGCATCTCTGTAGACAGTTGGTGGGCAGGTGAGTATAATGTAACCGTCAAACATCAAATTGATGACCTTTCCACAAAGAATCAAACCTTGAATCCCAATTAGAGGAACAAACACCAAAACCAGAATTACTGCTTTTACAAAGCGAATCAGTTCAATCCAAATCTGAATGTTTTGAAATGGGTTCTTAAGTAGATATTTTAAAAATGTACAAGTTTATCAAATTATGAAAATACCAATTAGATAAAACTAGTAACCTCAAAACTTGCTTTAAATACATAGGACAAAAATAATCCAAAAATCATGTTTCAAAATATATTTAAATATAACATTGCATGTATTTTTAAATTAGGATAATAAACTATATATCATATGATCCAAAAAAATACATAGGACATAAGTAAGAATTTCTTATATATTAAAAACAAAATTTTGTTAACAAAAAAATTTAGTTATATGTTAGAATATTTTATAGATACATCAGATTTTCAAATTTAGAATAAAAACTTACAAAAGTATAGCATCTTCTAGATAAGTTACTTATTTTTTTTTCACTTATTGTGCTTGAGAATTTAATTAGTATTTTAAATTCCAATGCCATTATTGTCATCTTATGTTTTAAAATAATAAACCTACAACATAAATCCATTCTGCCTTAGGAGAGTAGGGTTTTTAAGAGAAGCATATTCGAGTTGCATACAACTATAAAGGAAATTTTTGATGGTTTCCTAAGTGCCCAGAACTACTGCTTAAGTTTTACCACGTTTCTAGATGTGTGGGTTCACCTTTATGATAAATTTTCTTACTTCAAAAATAACCTCTTTTGTATGCTGACAATACTAATCATAACTTTTTGTTTACACAGACGTTAATTTTTATCTCTCTGCAATGCCGTTTCTTGCTGCAGTTGATTCTGGCATAATTGGGATACCTTCAGACAATGTCACATTTCTGCCACCATACAAGGATCAGATGAGCTTTTGTTATAATGTTTCTAGCTGTCATTCATCCTTTCCAGAAGCAATGAAAAAGTGGAATGAATTTTACCAGGTCTTTTTTGTTGTTGTTTTTTGAGTAATTTAATTAATACTCTGAAGTGGCCAGATAATTTTTGAATAATATATTTAATGTAGGGATTTCTTTACACATGGAACAATATTTTCTTAAGGAATTAAGTTTCTAATATTAAAATATTTATTATGATGACAGCAATATTAATATGATTTGATTACTGAATGACATCATATCACATTAGCACCCTCATTACCCATAGAATACTGAGGCTGCCCTATGCACATTTCTCACACCAAATAAAGTATACACAAATATGTGATAAGTATAGTTTAATAGAGCATAAAGTGTTTTCATTTCTCACAATTTCAGGCCAACTGAGCAAAAACCTATATTGAAATATAATTATAAAATAGGTTGTGGTAAATTTGATCAGATTATTTCATCTGTCTTTACAAACACATATCAGTTGACTGAAATAATCATTTGACAATCAGAATCAATATTGATATCCAAAGTAAAGTGTCTTGGGTGAAAGAGAAAATTACCAAAAAAATCAAGTTTCCCTTTACAGAACTTGATCTTCATATTTCATAGATTAGACAAAATACTCTTACTCCTCCCATTTCCCCCATTTCTAATTCTTAAGATTTTGTGGAAACTTCATTGTAGGGCCAGAGAAAAACAAGTAAATAAGATATAATAAAATACTAAAGCTCTGGTTCTAAACAGTATAAAATTCTAAAATATGTGATTTATTGCTTTCAAATGGATTCATCATCACTAGAAATGAATATAACTAATATTAATCTTTTACATATTGGTAAGCATTGAATCTTTCATACTTTAAATATTAGAAAAATACTATCTTCTCCCTTCCTTTAAAAGTTGAAAAATTATATTTATAAAGATAATTGATTTTCAGGAAGAGAGATTGTTATCATTGCTTAAATAGTATAACATTGTTCTTCTTGGACAGCATTTAAAGTCAGATTCTAATAGTTTTGATGACCTGCTGAAGTACTTATGGGCTGCACATGCCTCATCCTTGGAGGTTGTTCATAAAAATTTTCACAACAGGTAAGAAAAGATCTAAAGTTATTTTGTTTTAATATGATAATCTTTCCATTTTACACTATCTTTTTCATTGAAGTCTTTTTTAATTAACCTATTTACCAATATATCAACTATGGGGGAGTATTATGATAAAGAGAAAACTGGCAAGCAAATGTTTTCCTGGATAAAGTCCAAAAGTATTTTATAAATAGGAAAGAAAAATATGAAGAAAAGTAAGTTTGTATCATAAAGTATAACAAAATAAAAAGCGGTAAATCAAAATGAACCAGAAGTACAAGACGACAAACAAAAGGCTGTTTTTCACAAACTGGTGTCTTTAAACCAAATAATGTAATGGCAAATAAGGATGTGATCTCTGCATCATTTCAATCAGAGAGAATGGCTTGGTTAACACCTTTGGAGAGAAGTATCCAAGAGGCATCTTGGTTATGATGCTGGATAGCTAAAATAATGTCAAAAGTCTCCCCATTTTATAGCAAATGAGGTTGAATGAGGCAGCACAACTTGGTATGGAAGTGAATGACACTGGATTAGGGGTAGTATTTGCCACCCAGAGTGAGACCTGGTGTAGAACAAAGGAAAGAGTGGGTGACTGGTCTAAAAAGCACACATAAACGTGGCCACACATGTCTGAGGACTCCTTATTAACCACCTCATTTTATCTTTCCCATCGAGCACATATTTAATGAAGATAAATCACAGATTTAGGAGTCATGTTGTTTTGTATATATTAGCTCTCAGTACTGCTGCCAAGCTGATTTTTATAGTGGTCAACAGAAGAGTCCACCCTCTCGGCATGTCCGTGAAATGAACTGGAATTGCAGTCGTCATCGCATCTTTCTGCTGTGACTCAGCTCCTTGGCCTATTTCTGATGACTGCCAAGGAGCCTTGAGATTATTAGTCAAGCAAGTAGAGAGGGAGCTGCAACATCAAGATTGGAATTGAGGTCAGGTCATTATAATTTATAGAAAATAGTTTATAAAATACTGGTTTTTATTTGCAGACTTTCCCAATCACATGCAAAATGAAATTGCTCTAGAAAACAGCATTTTTTTAATAGCAACTCAGAGGATGATGAGATCGGCCCTCACTATCTGCAATACATCGACAAAGTTGAATTTATTGCAACCTTAGGAAGGGAGAACTACATCTGTCAGGCCCATTTCACCAAGCAAAACACTCTTCTCATCTTGTGGTGGGGTTATTAGGAAATGCAGATTCGGGGCTTTAAGGATTGTCAGTGGGTTGAATGGCCAGTGTAAGCGAGCTCTCAGGCATGGCAGCTATCAGTTTGCAGTAGAAGCGTGTTGGTGCAATGGGAACCAGTTCCTAATCGCCTGACTTTCAGAAGAGAGAGGATGCCACTGATTAGAGGCCTGCCAAACCCTGTTTCCTAACGCAAGTTTCTGTTAATGGATTGAAGTCTAAAAATGGTTTGATGAACACTTGTTACTATGTCTGCAGAGCATTTGTCTTCTCCTAGTGATGAAACAGCCTATTTTTAATCTTGCAAGTGTGAGGATACTTCAAGGGTTAAAGTTCAAGGATATTGCAGATTTTTGCTTATGATCTAATTTCTATAATTTGCTTGCTTTGTTTTTTATGCTCATTGCATTTATTCCAAACTATTGAATGTAACTAACTTGGAAACATTTGACTAATTTTTCAATAGATCAAATTTATAAATAACCTGAAACAAAATGACATCAATATGAATTGTTTGATGAGTAAGTTTAAATGTGTAGGTGCCTGTTTTTTCACTCACCACCAAAAAATAAAATAAAACACACACCTCCTTTGCTCTTCTTAGTAGAAACATAAGGACAAAACTTATTTATTTTTGCTACTAACACATTTACTTTATTTTCTGAACTTCTTTTTTATATGGCTGTCTACATAGGTGTTAACCTGTACCTATACCTATATAAATATTTTTAATAGCTGTGTAAGTGCTACGGATTTTATTATCATCTCTCACTCAATTCTTTTAACAATAAATTTTTATAGATAGTAACTCTTCTGAAGTTACACTGATTGGTAGTGTCAGGAAGAAAGAAGATTTGTGTCAAGGGTTGTCTCACTCCAAAGACTATGCTTTTACCCTTATAGCTCTTCTGTTTATAAAACTATGTATCCTGCAAACTGATGTTCAAAGGTGCATACACAGAAATCCTCAACACAATATTGGTAAACAGGATTCAGCTACATATAAAAAGGATTCTAAACCATGACCAGGTGGGATTTATACAGGAATTCAAGCACTGAGATACCGCAGCAGTCGCTCTAATAACCCAGGGGCTGTGAAGTGACTAACCTGCAGGGAGGTAAACAGCATAGACATGCTGCACAAAAGAATGATCCATGTCCCTGGAAAGCTGGAGTGGAACAGGGAGAGATTTCACCACGCTACTCAGGACACACAATTTAAAACTTAACAATTTTTTTTTAATTTCTGGAGTTTTCCACTTAATATTTTTGGATCGCAGGTAACAAAAACTGCAGATAGTAAAACTCCAGATCAGGGGGGGACTACTGTACACATTATAAGAAAAAAGTACCAAACTACCTAAAAAGCAAGAAGAATTCCCTGTAAACTATTTCATTGTTTAGTGGTTACCTGAAATGAAAATCATGTGTTCCTTAAGAAATATCGATATTCAGCAGAAATTTTGCTAATCTTCTTTTATTTTTATCTTTACATTTTAAAATAATGAGACTTGGTACATTTCAGCATTTATGCAAGTGGAGAAATCTTTATGAAAAGGGCAAAACATTCAACCAAAAGTGTATTTTCTGGGATGGTAATTTCCAAATTTAAAATTGTAATAAAACCGCTTCAAATTTTCAAATCTAAAGGCTAAAATAACACTGACTTTTTGCAGTCTATATTATGAAAAGTAAAATAATGTCATTTTGAAAAAATTGTTTTGAAAATTCAGTTAGCAATATTCTGAGTTGACTAATTCTAAATGCATACTTTTCCCGCACTTGTTTTGTAGGTTAAAGTATTATTCTAAACAAGAAGCACATTTTGAAAGAAATTGGGCTTTGTTTGTGGATTACTTAGCTCCACCACTCTTTCCTTCAACTTTGATTAGAACCCACAACTTCCTGAAAGGTCTGCCGACACGAGTGCTTCTTAGTGGGGATCGAGTCCCCTTCATCAGTGACTTTACTGCCTTTCAGAAGAGTGTCCTGCTTGCTCTAAATCTTTTGCACAAAGTGCATGTGTATACAGGTAAAAGACACAGAGAGACTTTACTTTTTGGAAATTCTATATATGCTGATTTCATAGGTAATGGAATATCATTAGAATCATTGTTATAAATCATTACAACAGAATGTCTATAGGAAGAAATGTTGACTTCCAATAGATATCTGTTTCGAAGTTCTAACAGTTATCCTTGTGGGCTTATGGAAGGTTTTGTTTCGTTGGCATGTATTGTAGACCCTCTCTTACTTAGCATGTCCTCTCCTCTAGGGTCATTGGACAAAGACAGCAGGTCAACATCAGCCCACGTTAGTTTGATGAGGAGATCATGGAAATATCTATTTCTGTCTTGGATAAGATTTACTATTTCATTTTGTTTGGTTTTTAAATGGAAAACATAATAAACATAACAATTATTTGCCATGACTAACAGAAGCATGAAATAAATTGTTATATATACCTTTCCTATCCAGTTCTTCAGATTATAGAATAAAGAAAAAAATCTGACCTCCCCAAATTCCAGTTTTGGAGGAGGTATATTTCTCTAAAATTTTCAAATCTTAGGTTACTAAGAGTAGAAAAGAAGAAATTACATAAATGGTATATTTGAGAATCACTATATTATTCAACTTCCCAGGGAACACGTACCCTGTGTTGTGTGTATACGTGTGTGTGATTTCTCTTTCTTAAAACAAAATTCAGAAATGAATAAAAAATTTTAAAAGATGTATGTTGTATACTAAATTTTAAAAATTGTACATATATTACTTAGGGTAACACTTGCCTTAATAGATAAACCTTCCAATTATAATGGTAAAACAATAGGATTCTATTTCTGGCTCACATAGTGATTTAGGATACAGTGGCACCTCGGTTTCAGAACTGGAACGGTCTTCCAGAACGGAGTACATTCGAAAACCAAGGCACCACTGTATTCACTCAATTGACAGGAGGCTCCCCTCCATGATAACCCAGGGACCTGGGTCCCCCCACCTCCGGCTCCATCAATCTTCCCAGCTTCACCATGCATACTTCCTATAAAGTCAGCGGAGCCAGAGATCTTAAGGGAGCCCCTCTTGTAAAGCCCTAGGACTAGATGTGACACATAACCCTGAATCACATGCCTTTGGCAAGAACAGTCATACAGCTCCACTAGATGGGAGACAGGAGGGACTTGGGAAAGTTACATCTTGTCCGAGCCTCACTGATAGAAGAATTACAGAGTTTGTGGATTTGCCAGTCATCTCTGCCACATTGTCAGGTATAGAAAGTACAGTCTAGGCTCAGATGATATGAACAGACTCTAACTTCCTAGTATATAAAGGGTGAGAATTGAAGGGATGGGTAGAATTGATTGTATTTCATCATTGTATATAACAGATTTCTAGTTTATTTTAAGCTCCAGTTTTACGAAAATTAGCTTTGGACTTAAGTTTTGAATTTTTTCTATAGGCTACAATAAAAAAAAGAAGGGAAAAACCCAACAAATTGGAGTGCAGTTAAACTAGGTATCTTGCTTTCTAGCTTTCTCTAGCAATTGCATGCTCCTGTTGTTCACAATTCAGAAACTGTGCAGGTCTTTTCAATTAATTCAAGTACAGAAAAAATTGAGTAGAATACCAGTAATAAATATATTTTTTACAATTGAGCATCTGGTTTATAGTCAATAACATGTATTGAACAAACTTTTTAACATAAGATTCAGTTACATTTTTGAAATCAGAAAATTTTTAAATTTTGTTTTACACTGCAAACTGGAATGAATTTCTTATACATTAGCCTTAGTATTTTGAGGCTTTAAATCTCCATTATTTGACATTTTTAAAAACATTTATTTATTTCAACCAGACTTGGGAAAAGCCATGCAGGGGAAATTTTAGTCTGCAGAGTAGACCACTTACTTGTATGGCTGCTCTGTCTCACTGACAGTGTGGAGTAATGTGGGGGGAGAATTGACTCCTGACTTTTGAGACTTTTGATATATAAGCTACAACTAATTGTCAACCACCAATCAGGGATTTCCATGGAGAGGAATTAAAGGTGTGCCAAGGGTCTCTGATGATAACGGAAATAGCTGCTTGAGAAATAAATCAAAGGGAAATAAACATGATTTTTCCTAACATGGGTCAAAAGAGATAAAAAAAACTTTAGTTCTGGACTCAAGACTACTGTATTTTTTGTTCTTGCACCTTGACTGATCCATCCATTCTGACGAATTAATCCATTCTGACATATTTGTTCTACTCAAAATTTACTTTATTACTAAATACTTCTTCCACTTCTTAATATAATTTTATTTTTATAGCTATATGTATTTTTTTTCAATTACAGTTTACATTCAATATTATTGTGTATTACTTTCAGGTGTACAGCATAGTAGTTATACAATCGTATACTTTATAAAGTGGTCCCCCTATATTTGTTTTTTTAAATGCATTCAATATGTTTTGTATGAAAAATTAAAATGCTACAGAAATGCAAATTATTAAATGCAAATAAAACTTACACTCTTCATCATCATCTCTTAACATTCATACCTTGATTCCTTGCTTGATTTTTTTTTTAAACTTTTGAGCTCATTCCTACAAGAAAATTGATATGTTAGTTGATATAAATAAAGGAATAAATTATTTGATAAAATTGTTGCTTGCATAAATGAGATTATATGTATGGCACTGCTCTTGATACACATTTTTACTAAGCATGTATATCTGAGATATTATCAAGTCAATAAATAGTTATACACATCATTCTCTAAAAATAATACACAACTTTTCACAAAATGGATTAATATTCTCCCCAGTTTTAGGCAATTTAAAAATGACATTCAATGTGGACTTTAAGTAACTTAATTTGTTGGAATTGTGACAAATTAAATGACATGGAATGAATTTATGGATCAGGTAGTACTAAATGGCAATTATGAGGTGTGTCATGATTATATTCTTGCAAAATAAAAACAAAAACAATGATACAAATTGTTTATTAAAGTTCATGTCTCTGCATAGACACCAAAANGTATATTCTTGCAAAATAAAAACAAAAACAAAATGATACAAATTGTTTATTAAAGTTCATGTCTCTGCATAGACACCAAAAATGACTATCAGCAAACTTTTTAATTTGCAACCATGTGACATATAAAAAGTGGCACTTCACTTTTTCATGAGTTTTCATTCTTTAATCATTTTTGTGTCCATTAATCTCTTTAGTCACTATGTATCATAAGTTTTAATATGAAGATATAACATAATTTTAAAGAGCAAAACATTGTATGTTTTATTAATGTATATAGAAAACATGCTTATTTCATAGTAATTAAATAGAAAATTTAAAATAATTTCAACATTTGGAATAAAAATTAAAATTTTATATCTTTACTCTTTTTTTAGGAACACTGTCTTTCATTGTATGGGAAAATTTAATGAAGTTCAAAGTTGCAAGAAAACTGTTTCTAGAGATTTTGGAATTCATCCTTCACGTTTTTGATTAAGTACTTTTGGAAACCTATAATAAAATAAAAATCTACAATGATAATTCCTTGAGGAAAAGTGTTCTTAAAGATTAATCCTTGCATATTTGCATAATTTTGTCTTGTTTTTAAAATTTGAATTAATATTACTGTTAATTTGCTTTATTAATAATTACTGCATTAGCATCAGTAGTAAACTGTTTACTGTTAAATGCAGATTTGTCTGAATAGCTGAATAAATGCACATAAATTAATAAAAATTATAAAACCTGATTGGAATTTTGGATGTTATTCTAATTAAATTAATTTCATGAAATTTGGAGGAATAGATCTTCATGGTCAATAGTCAAGGGGCAGAAAATGTCATTTTATTTATTATTTATTTATTATTTATTTATTTATTTATTTATTTATTTATTTATTTATTTCTCACCTGAGGATATATTTATTTTAGAGAGAAAGAAAGAAAGACAGAACATCAATTGGTTGCTCTCTCGTACACAACCCAACCTGGGACTGAACCCACAATCCGGGTATGTGCCCTGACTGGGAATCAAACCCATGACCTTTCGGTGTATGAGACCACTCTCCAACCAACTGAGCCACAAAGGCCAGGGCAAGGCAGAAATTTTGAAAAATAAATTTAGATGATGAATTTGGATTTCTAAAACACTTAAAAATGAATTATTTTATTTCTTGATCAAAAAATGTTTTCAAATATTGTTAGTTCTCTCAAAGTTAGAAAAATTATTGTTTTTTTTAGTCTATCCTTTCTATGAAGCACTTCAGGATCATAGAAGGTAAAATGTCTCACCTTTAAGCAGAGACAACGTGTACTGACAAGAAGGTGGTTCTCCCTTCTGCTTGTGCTCATGGTGACTTCCTTCCACAGCTTTTACGAAGCTTGCTTAGAGGGCTTCACGTGGGCCTCATATAGGGGCAGAATATGTCCTCTAACAGGACCAAGATGCGCACCAAAGTCTGCTTTTCCAAGGCCGGGGTCCAGAAGCAGGTCAGGCATAGACTCAAAGCACCCTGAAGTCTGCCTCTGCCTGCAGACTGATTAATCTGATTCTCTTAATGAGCCTCAGGCTGCAGAAGCTCCACAGGGTGGGGTGGGTGGTTGTTATCAGTCTCTTAACAAGCCTCAGGCTGTAGAAACTCCTCTGGGCAGGGCGAGAGGCTTCCAGCAGGGTGGGGCAATTGCTTCCCCCTCAGGCAAAAGCCAATAATTCACCACCAGAGAAAGATGTCCCTTACAGTCTGGGGAAATGACTGGGCACAGGAGTCCTGATGGGCGTCCCCTGATCTCACTCTCCAGAGCCCACAACCCCAGACTCCCCACGCAGCTCCAGTCACTCCGCTCCCCCTCCGCTGGAGCCCAAGGTGAGTGGCTGCACACGAAACTCTGTGCATTAGCTCTTTAAGACAGAAACCCGGCTGCTTTTCACAGCCAGATGTTAGGTGGGCACCTTTCTCAGTTCTGTGCTCTGCCCTGGGGAGCCCAGCCTGGGGTGTAGGCCCCAGAGTCCTCAGTGGGAACCCCCGCCCCCCCCAGCTGAGCTCTCCCTCCGGCCCTTCAGCTGCTGCCTGTGGGGGCCCAGCCGGCCCTCTCGCGTCCACACTTCCAACCAGCCTCTGTGCGGCCTCCCCTTTTCGTCCTTGGTTATGAGGATGCTCTGCAGCTAGTTCTCCGTTAGTTTTCAGGATGGTTTTTCTATGTTTTAATTGTAAATCCAGATTGGTCCCGGGAGAGTGTCAGTGTAGCTTCCACTCAGNGAAGGTGGTTCTCCCTTCTGCTTGTGCTCATGGTGACTTCCTTCCACAGCTTTTACGAAGCTTGCTTAGAGGGCTTCACGTGGGCCTCATATAGGGGCAGAATATGTCCTCTAACAGGACCAAGATGCGCACCAAAGTCTGCTTTTCCAAGGCCGGGGTCCAGAAGCAGGTCAGGCATAGACTCAAAGCACCCTGAAGTCTGCCTCTGCCTGCAGACTGATTAATCTGATTCTCTTAATGAGCCTCAGGCTGCAGAAGCTCCACAGGGTGGGGTGGGTGGTTGTTATCAGTCTCTTAACAAGCCTCAGGCTGTAGAAACTCCTCTGGGCAGGGCGAGAGGCTTCCAGCAGGGTGGGGCAATTGCTTCCCCCTCAGGCAAAAGCCAATAATTCACCACCAGAGAAAGATGTCCCTTACAGTCTGGGGAAATGACTGGGCACAGGAGTCCTGATGGGCGTCCCCTGATCTCACTCTCCAGAGCCCACAACCCCAGACTCCCCACGCAGCTCCAGTCACTCCGCTCCCCCTCCGCTGGAGCCCAAGGTGAGTGGCTGCACACGAAACTCTGTGCATTAGCTCTTTAAGACAGAAACCCGGCTGCTTTTCACAGCCAGATGTTAGGTGGGCACCTTTCTCAGTTCTGTGCTCTGCCCTGGGGAGCCCAGCCTGGGGTGTAGGCCCCAGAGTCCTCAGTGGGAACCCCCGCCCCCCCCAGCTGAGCTCTCCCTCCGGCCCTTCAGCTGCTGCCTGTGGGGGCCCAGCCGGCCCTCTCGCGTCCACACTTCCAACCAGCCTCTGTGCGGCCTCCCCTTTTCGTCCTTGGTTATGAGGATGCTCTGCAGCTAGTTCTCCGTTAGTTTTCAGGATGGTTTTTCTATGTTTTAATTGTAAATCCAGATTGGTCCCGGGAGAGTGTCAGTGTAGCTTCCACTCAGTCCGCCGCCGTCTTGGATCTCCTTCCCCAAACTTCTTTTGAACGAGAGAATGACGTAGAGATGAAGATGTTTCTGGAGCTGCTATTTGGTGTATTTCAAGGAAACTTTTTAAATATCAAGATATTACATTTTAAAATAACTGCAAGGATGTAATACTACAAATATATTTAATATAATATTATCACCCACACATTTATACCAGTCCAAAGTATAGTAATGACATGTCTACATTTTTTAAGGCCCCTTTTTAAAAAATTCAACTTTCCATAGCTGTCTGTCTGCTCTCTATCTATGAGACTCTCTTAAATTCCACATATGAGTGAAACGTGGAGGGTTTGAGCAAAAAAGAAAAAAGAGAGAAAGAACTCATGGACATGCACAACAGTGTGTTGACTGTGGGGCATGGGGTAGGTGGAAGAGGGTATAGAGGGGACAAATGGTGATGGGAAAAATAAAATAAGTTCAACTTTCCTTTTACATAAATTTACATTCAAAAGGTTTTCAAATTTTAAATCTTACCACTCAGTCAATTGCATACACTAGCCTTTAGTTTACTATGCCATAAAAACATAAAAAGCACTTGTTCTCATACTGGCATTTAATACAGAAACTGTTAATTAAAGTAATTAACAAACTAGAGTGGCAGCTCTTTTTCACCTGGGAAGGGTAAAATAATATGTTCATATATCCTGGAGTATTGCTACTCAGGGAAAGAGAAATTCATGAACAAGTTACTTACTTTCTTATGATTTTTTTCCTTGCTGATAATATTCAAGATTTAAAAAATCTCATCAAATAACTGGAGATTTCTGGGTATTAGCCAGATTCTAGGCATCTGGAGCATGATATGATGAATTCTCTAAAGATGTGTAAAAGATTTTGGTATATGTGTAGTGCTCCAGGGACAAATTTATTGATCACATGCACCATGAAATATTACTCCTGCAATAGAAATGCAAGTTTATACTAAAATTCACGAAATGATGTTGAACAAAAGATTCAAAGTCAAATGGTCCATTTTTTTATATGAAGCTTTCAGGTATCCTTACATTAAAATTATGCTGTGCTATGTGGAAATGATAAATGCTAAAATTCTGCTGTTGTAAATCACAGCTTTATAAAAGGGAACAGCATGGCTGCATTGTATCCAAATGGTTGGTGGGACATGAGTGGACATGTGGATTCAGAATCAGGTCGAAGGGCCAGCTCTGTGCCCTGTGGCTCCCTCTCCCCCAGCCCAACAGCAAAATGCAGAGCAGCTGCAGTGTGGGCCTCTGGGATAAGTGAGTGTCCTCAGGAAAGGCCCTGAGCATTTACGTACCTTGTACTTCATTCGTAAATGTAGTAGCAACTTTTTGTTCCCCAAGAAGAAGGCTCACACACTACACTGACTGTTGCAAACCTCAACATCTAGCTCATTTCACACTGTATCTGAGAGCAAATGACTATTTTCTGAAGGAGAAGTTATTCCAAATTTTTAAAACTCCAGCTTTTGTCAACATCAGCACTAGGAAGCCAGTTTCTTGAACATCTATTGGAGTGATCCTTTAAATGTGTGTTGTTCTCTTACTGGGCCTACAAACTATGTAAATATGTGATTTTAAATATATTGCCAATTTGCAATGTTGTTTAAAGGTCATTATGAAAAAATAAAACTTCCTTCGATTTTATGGGGTGAAATATGTACAATGATTAAATTCTCTAGATCACCACTAGATGGTGTATGAAACCTATTAAATATAGTACATTCCCTTTCATTGCTGCTGTTTCAGGTCCTTCCCAAATGGCATCTTAATAATGGCAAGTCTAATTATAATTCATTAATATTAATATTACAATTAATACTTGTTTAATGACTTCCATAGACACTGATCCAATAATACTATACTAGCTGAGTGACCTTAGATAAGTCACGTATTCTCCCTGTACATCAGCTTCCATATCTGTGAAATGGAAAGAATAAGTATCTACCTAGTTCATAAGAGTTGTAACAATTCAGTGAGTAGTAAGAGCACTTAGAGAAGTCCTTGACACTTTATAGGTTAGCTATTATTATTTGCCAGACACTCTCTTTACATGACACTTATATAGAAAATCTGTATATGCATGTATGTTTTCTAAATTTTAACTTTCCCAAGTTCAGAACTGAGACTTGAACTAAGATCTTTGCTACTCCACACTATGACACTATGTGGACTTACTCGCCAAGCAAATGGCCTCTCAGTGTGCTGTGCTGGTGTCCTTTACACATTCCATCTCTATTAACTACTCAGTCTCGAACATTTCTTAAGTGCCCACCATGTACCA